AAACTGTATGGCCATGGCAGGCTTCTTGCTAACTGTTCTTTTATCTTAAATTAACCCATTTCTATAAATCTATACCTTGCCACGTGGCTGGTGGCTTACCGGCATCTTTACATGCTGCTTGTCCTGGCAGTGGCTGCAGTGTCTCTCCCCCCTTCTTCCTGTTTCCCCAATTCTCCTCTCTCCTTGTCCCGCCTATACTTCCTGTCTGGTCACTGGCCATCAGTGTTTTATTTATATAGAATGATATCCACAGCAGTCTGTCATTCATGTTCTAATGAAAGTGTTCTATGTTCTGTGGGTTTGAGAATTTCCTTATCTCTATTTATTAAGATATTCCTGACATCTGTCCAAAAATCATTTATACACCATCACTGCAATGTCTTCAACATTTAATGCAGCAACCCAGCCTCTGGAAAGCTTGTGTTTAGTAGCAGGACACTCCTGTTCTGATTTTCTTTGTGTTGTGCTAGGAGCTTTGGCTGCTGCTGCACAGAATTGTTCATTTACTTTATTTAGTCCAGTGTTTGCTTTCTCTATTAGTTGTTTTTTTGTCTGTTTCTTTGCTGGTACCCTCTCTGCTACTTTCCATAATTTTAGAACGTTTCCTGTAATGTAAGCCGTTGCTGATTGTCATGTCCCTCACCCATCAACCAATACTTAATTATTCAATTCTTGGTTATGTCAGCTTATCTTCATTTAAGTATCATTTTAGAGGTTTATTTGTCATACATGTCTTATTTTTCCTATCTATCTGCAATGAATTATATGCCATTTTTATTTCTGTTATATAGTGCAAGGTTTTATACACACCTTAACAAAGTGGATATATGGTGAGTAGAAACTGAAAAGAAGAATAATAAAAAGAATAAGAAGGAGAAGAAGAGGAGGAGGAAGAGGAAGAAGTCGTTACTTTTAATGGACTCTTCAACATTGAGCCTGTGCTATGAAGGTCATTTTTCATTCAGAACAGTCCATAAAATAATGCTGCTTTATTAAGCATACCCTAGAGTCACTAATTGACTTTCTACAGACAAGATGTTTTCTTCCACACACATTTCTCATCCTAGTGATATGCTAAACATGATTTGATATTTTTTAGGTTCAGTGGATAGAATTTCTATTCCTATTTCTGGTGATTTCATTAGACTCCCTTTGTGGATCTATAGCTGGAACAAACAGGCCACCATATTTACTATAGCCAGAAACAGAGAAACAGCTTCCAATTGCCAGCTTTCTCCCTTTTAACATGCAAATCTTATGAAAAATGGAGGAAAGATAACCCACTGATTCATCTTCCATTCTTCCTTGAGACTTACAACTGAACAAGGAGCCCAAGAGAATGCTGTACACCACCGCATTGCCTGTGCAGAGAATATAAATTTCACTAAGCCTGGGACCATGGGAGCTATTAGTGTGCCACTAGGCCCAGCATATCACATTCTGGAAAAGACTGGTGTTGCAATTTCTTTCTGAATGTGATTTTTCTTGATTCCTTTCTATTCGGATGTGTGAAAGTGTGAGGCAGCTGAAGCATTTGGAGAGGGAAGGAGAATGTGTCTAGGGTGATGACACATTTAAAAATACCATCCCGAAATGCCCCGAGCTCTCTAGCTATGGATTCTAAATATAGTTACACCACCAGGAGAGGAGTGTGCCAGTGGGGTTTAGATAAAGCTTCCCCAGCATTAGGTAGAGATGATTCACCAGGGGAGGCAGGCTGGGATGTGCCATTTCAGCACATTCTTTAAGCCATTAAAGTCAGTCCCTTTCACATCACAGTTTCCTCAAAGAACTGAGAAGCAAGATATTGGTTTTAAATGTTTTAAATTTCTACCACCAGGTCATTGTTAATCCTTTCAATTGTGTTTTATGTACAAAAAAAAAAAAGGTTTTCTAGGTAATGACTCTTGTTGTCAAAGAAAAATACAATAATAACAACAATAACAAAAAGAAAAAGAAAGGACCTGGTATCACTTCATGATGCACATATGTTGGTTCGAATGTTGTTTTATATTTTTTCATTTTCTGTCACTGGGTTGATTTTTGTGTGTGTGAAAAAACGTTAAATATGTGGCATTTAAACATCTTTTTAACATTCTAAAGAATGACTCATACAAGGTCACAAGAAGGAAAGACCTTTTATCCTACACTATTTCTGTTGATTACTTCTGTTGAGATATATGCAAACAAAATTCAAATTTACAGCTCCCCTGCACCTGAATTAAAAGCATGCATTTGAGCCTGTTGGTGAAGCTACATGGGACACACCAGTTCAGTTCTTTCTCACTGTGTATTTGCTGAGCTGAGGTTTATTACATTTTACTGGCTACATGTTCCTAAGTTGATTCTCCACCCAAGGCTATTTAAAACATCCAGTGCTGAGCTAACTATACAAACTTGCCATCTGTATCTCTTAGGAAGCACCGATGTTAAATTTAGTTAACTCACATTGCCATTCTCATTTTCAGCCTAAGGTCTCCTATAGCTTCTCTGCTACAGGCTCCTAAATATGAAGGCATTTGGTAAGGAGACTAAGCAGACTTGTTAGCATCAGTAAGAAACAGGCATTCTGAACTCTGACTTCATTTAGTGGTGGGAATTTTTTTATTACAAACCCACCTCTTCTCCTTCTCTTCCTCATTCTATTTCCCAAGATGTTGGGCTGCTACCAATTCTGCCACTCCACCTGCAAGGGACAGTCACTGTGCTGGGACTAATAAGAGATATGTAGTGTGATTTTATCAGGTGTGTGATTTCATCTGCCTGTTCAAGACCAATTCAATCAGTGGTTTCATACAGGAACGGCGGTAGGCAGTTAGTCCTCTGAAAGCCATTTCTTTTTTTGGAGCCTCAAACTTTTCCTTAGTATAAAATAATAGATAATGACTATTCCTTATGATTTTGGTTTGCTGAGCTTTTGAAAATGTCGTTTATCATTTGGCTCCTTTTTCTTATCTTTTTGATTTTGTATATTTATATTCTTCCATCTCTCTTAGAAATATTTAACAAAGAAATATGATATGCTATGGATAATTTCTCCCTTAATTTTAGACAAACTTCATGTTTTTCCTGCTTTTAAATTCAGAATGTCTTGAGCTGGAGAGGTGGTTCATCAGGTCAAAGCTCTGGTCCTGCAAGCTTGATGACCTGAGTCAAGCTTTGCACTACATATTATATACACATGTCATAAAGTACTGTCCCCAAATATACTTCAAAATTGACTTTGTAATAAAAGTTCAAAAGTAAAGAATCTGATCTTTGGGACAGAGTGAACTGAGGAGAAGCAGTTTGATGAAAAATAACTTCAGCACAAGTGACAGAGATGAGAGAGAAAGGACAGGAACCTGAAGGGGAGGAGAGGGTGTGAGCTTGAGCTAGCTCACTTTGAGAAGAAAAGACAGGAATGTGAGGGGGAGGAGAGGGTGTGAGCTTGAGCTAGCTCACTTTGAGTAGAAAAGACAGGAATGTGAGGGGGAGGAGAGGGTGTGAGCTTGAGCTAGCTCACTTTGAGAAGAAAAGACAGGGACGTGAAGGGGAAGGGAGGGTGTGAGCTTGAGCTAGCTCACTTTGAAACTGCACAAAGTTTTAGAGCTGTGTCACAGGGCCTTGCACATGGGTGGGTTAAGCCTCACTGTCCATTTTCTTTTTTTATTCCAAAGCCTCATCATATGCCAGATTCCCCTGTTTATCTTACTTCATTTCTAGAGAAATTAATTGCTCTGAAGAAAAGAAGAAAAGATATTGATGAGAAAATTTCTATTCCATTAACTTTGATCAATTCTAAAGTTTAGGTAATTGGCCCATCTTCAGTCTAGATGTTCTGGTTGCTTGCTTTTGATCTTGGCAATGTGAAATTGCTCTGAAAATGATAATAATCTATACAGCTTTTAGTGTAATATTTGTTAACACTAAATAGGCAGAATATTTCTTCCCACAATTCTCAGTGCTGTGATCATAATGAAATGAGAATTATTTTCCTTCACATACTTTCTGGGAATGGTTTCCTTTTTTTTCTGGCTACCCACCTATTTGGAATGAACGGATGTTAAAATATCATTTCAAAAGGATATTCCTAGAAATATCAAGTAAGATTGACATCATGCTTTAAACTTAGTTGTACAAAACAGTAAGCGAATCTCTCAAAAAGAGACCTGACCTTGAAATCAGGAGACAGAATTCCTTTGAAGCCCACCAACCAAGTGTGTGACCTTGGGCAAGCAGCTTAGTCTTCCTCTAGCAAGTCCTCACTTGTAAGCTGGCACTGACTTTCTAACTGATGCATTGAGAATAAACAAATGATTGAATAGCTTATAAGTCTTTTAATATCTTCACCTACTGATAGAGATTTTGAGCTTTCTGAGAACAACAGAGACAACTCTGGCCAATAGATTATGTTAGAGATTACTGTTTCATTTAGGAAGGAATTTTCTCAATCATAATTCAGCTTTTTGTTCATAGAACCTAAAATCTAGAGGGCACCCACCAAAAAATATGTTGATGGGATGTGTTTACATTCTCTGCGACATGACATAAACTCTTCTTTAAGAGTGTTGGTATCTCTGACTATCAACATTTTTCTTGTTTGTCTCCCATAACTAGATGGTGAGATTCTGTTGTTAAAGACACAAATCACGTCTGAAGTAGTAATCAACCTTCACTGGTCCAAAAACACTGGTGAGCTTTCATAGTGCTAGAACATACCAGGAAGGCTGATGGGGGAGAAAAGCTATCAATGGTCTTACATAATGCTGGACTTTGAAAGCTATAAATTCAACTTTCTTGGCAAAATATGCCTACTCATCAAAGAGTGATCAAGACCATTCATCAGGGTAAGCAACTATCCTCTTGACTGGATTTGAGGTTTGCTCCACAAAAGAAAATTCATGACTGGTACTGCAAACATGGACAAAACCATGGGTAGGGAATCCTTGACTCATGAGGGGAACTTTTGATTATATTTTGCAAAATGGTCATGCATTCAGATTGCCCTTTATTTATACTTTTTTTTTGTAAAGATTTGTTTTATTTCTACTAGGGGAAGGAAGAGGATAGATATAACTGTTATCCAATTTGCTGTCCGCTGTGTACACACATACCCACACACATACATATACATACACACCAAAAGTTCCCCCCCAAAACCAAAAAACCACCCTCAAACTATACCAATACTTCATATTTTGACCAAAAGAATAGATCCTGGGAAGAAGTGCAAAATGCAAAATCAAATGACCGAGAAATGCTGAACAAACAGCATTATTAATATACAAAATATTTATATTACTGAACTAGTAACAGGTGATGTTCTCCGTGTCTGTAAAACTTTGGAACAACAGAGCTGATTGTTAAATCTAGTCCATGCCAGCTTCCAGAACCCAGAGGATTTTAGTTAGCTTCATTTTTTGATGCTTCATCAAAATTTTCTACAAGATCTGATAAAAAGAAGAAAGGAAAAAATAAATAAAATGCAAATGAGTCAAAATAGTTGCAACTAGAATTAAGCAAAAACCAGAAAAGGCAGAAATGAACTAATGGCATTTTAGTAATAATGACTTTTAAAAACAGTAATCTTGAGGAAATGGCCTTCAAAAATGTATGTAAAACTCCTAGGGGCTGGAGAGATGGCTCAGTGGTTAAAAGCACTGGGTGTTCTTTCAGAGGTCCTGAGTTCAATTCCCAGCAACCACATGGTGGCTCATAACCATCTATAATGAGATCTGGCACCCTCTTCTGTTCTATAGGTGTACATGCAGACAGAATGCTGTATACACAATAAATAAATAAATCTTTGCTGGGCGGTGGTGGCGCATGCCTTTAATCTCAGCACTCGGGGAGGCAGAGGCAGGCAGATCTCTGAGTTCGAGGCCAGCCTGGTCTACAGAGTGAGATCCAGGACAGGCACCAAAACTCCACAGAGAAACCCTGTCTCAAAAAAAACAAAAACCGGGGGCTGGAGAGATGGCTCAGTGGTTAAGAGCACTGGCTGCTCTTCCAGACGTCCTGAGTTCAATTCCCAGCAACCACATGGTGGCTCACAACCACTTGTAATGAGATCTGGACTTCAGGGACACATGTATACATAATAAATAAATAAATAAATCTTTGGGAAAAAAAGAACAAAACAAAACCAAAAACCAAAACAAACAAACAAACAAAACTCCTAAGGTGAATATTTTTTATGTCAGTTTAATGCCAACAATTTTTAAAAATTATTTTATTGTTTTATGGAATGGGTGTTTGCCTGAATGTATGTTTGTGTACCATATGCATGCAATACCCAAGAAGGCCAAAAGAGGATGTTGGACCCCCTGGAAGTGGGGCAAGGCTGTGATTCACCATGTGAGTGCTGGAAATTGAACCCAGGGCCTCAGGAAGAGAGGCCAGTGCTCTTAATTGCTGAGCTATTTCTCCAGCCCTCCAACAAAAAATTTCAAGAATAACAATGTATACTGGTAATAAGAGTGATTTCAATTTAATACATGCAGGCAATAGAGCTTTGTGGAATATTTTCTGATGCTAAGTTCTGAATGAGGGAACTTCTGTGTTCTTATTCATTATATCCTATTGTTGGGGTATCAGTCTGGACTCTGGTCTTTGTGATCTCTGTCTAAAGGATTTAGACACAGAATACAAATAAACAGCATAAAAGATAGGTAAATGCATTTATAATAGAGTATACACTCAAAGGGTTAAGTGTGGACAATGCTTAAGAGACCATTGACCCAGACTACATCTTAGGCAGGTGGTATATTATTTCTGAAGTCTCCAGAACAAACAGCTTTTTTTTTGGAGGGGGGGGGGTGTTAGTGTTTTTTTTTTTGTTTTTCAAGACAGGGTTTCTCTCTGTAACAGCTCTGGCTGTCCTAGAATTCACTATGTATACCAGGCTGGTCTCAAACTCATAAGAGATCCACCTGCCTCTGCTTCCCAAGTGCTGGGATTTAAAGGCATGTGCCACCACTGCCCAGCTACAAACAGCTTTTCTTGAGGGACTTTGTTCTGTTCAGGTAGTGACAGACCTGTTTGGTTTGACACTGATAGAAGACAATAGTGTGTCTTTGTTCTTCATCAGATAGCCTTCTACTATACAATCATCTTCTACCAGGTTTAGCATTCTGGAACCAGGCTTAGTATTATATAATGGCAGTTCAGGATAACATGTCTCCTCCCATGGCCAGAGATGGGGCTTAGGGAACATTTTTCTGACCTGAAGTTCCAGTTCTTGGTTTTACAGGCTGCTGATATGAGGGAAGGGTTGATCTCCAGTGTCTTCCAAGCCAACTACTATCTAACTAGAAACCTAACACTATCCATATCACTATAAGTCAAATGAAATTCAGTCACAAAATTCTCTAAGTCATCTATGCAATAAGTGAAAAGAGATAAATAATTTTTTTTTAGTTTAAAAAAATGACACGATTAATTTATGTGTGTGTATATGTGTGTGTGCATGCGTAGGTCAGAGGACAACTTGTACAAGTTAGTCCTCTCCTTCCACCATGTGGGCCCCAGGGATGAAATTCAAGTTGTCAGGCTTGACATCAATCATCTTTACTAGAATAGTCTTACTGGTCTGGGACAAAATTTAACACTAACAAAATGTCTTTTACCTGGAACATCATCATCCTCTTCATCAATGTCTTCTGGTTTTGGTGCTTTACTATCCAATACTACAAAAAGTTTATGTGAATATTAGTTACTGAGAACAAAGAGCTTCACAGAACACCTCTAATACTTATCTTCTCTCTGTCTAAATATCCTATGGCTATTAAATACAGTCAATCTAAAATTCACTTCTTTTTTTTTTTAAGTAACACAAAAAACTGGTATTTTAAATCAAATACATATTAACCACACAGTAATTACACTGCGCAGTAAAGGTAAAAGTTACATGCTATGTATGCATGTGACCACTAAACAGGGGGCTTTCTGATGGTTAGAAACAACAAGATTTGCATGAAATTAAGACCAACTTGGAAATTCAGAATTTATGATTACCATACTTAAAATGGTCATCATAGTACCAATGGACAATACTGTATCTAAGTAGTCTATAATACACATTTCAGTAATTAAAAAAGCAAACTGAGTTTTATGAAGCACACAAGTGGCAACATAGAAAGTATAAGAATTATCTACTGAGGCAAATCCTCTCAGTTTAAGTAAGACACTTTTTGTTTTTTAGACAGGGTCTCTGGCACAGGCTAGCCTCAGTTTCCCTAAATTGCTGAGGACAGCCCTAAACGTCCGGTCCTTCTCCAGGAATTACAAGCATGTGCCATCACACCCAGCTTATTTACTGCTAGGGATCAAACCAAAACCTTAAGCACAGTAGGCTAGGACCCTGTCAGCTGAGCTCCACCCTCAGTTTCTGATGGGATGGTTTTAAAATCAGTAGGTTTTTTAAAGCAGGGAAGAGGGGAAAATACTGAACTGAGATGCATACCTTGTCGTGGGAACTGTTCAGCTAACTTTCTAAGGCTTGTTAAGCTGTCAGCACCAAGCTGACTTAATATTCCAGGAAGCATTTCTGTGATTGGTTTGGCTTCTGCATGACCAGTAATTGCAAAGGTGTTAGCGGAGAGGGAAGCTTGGACTTTGGGGTTGTTGAAATGAATAACTGTTCCATCATCTTTAATCATGTTCACCTCTTCAATACCAGCTATATTGTTCACAGCCAGTTTCTTTAGAGAACTCTGAAGCTTTTTGTCATCAGCAGTAGCTGTCCTATGTACCACCTTCTTCTTTCTGCGAGCTGTACCCTTGCCCCCTATCCGGACCTGAGCTTGAAGTTCGGCTAACTTTTCTTGATTCATGCTGTTGGTAAATCTGTATATATCATTGCTGTAAGGCTGAATCCATTTCCCAAATAAAAATTAGAACCTATGGCTTCTCAATTTGTTCAACATTCTATCACGATGGTCATGCAGCTACAACTCTTGTACGGGAGGAGTTGTGTGAAGAATCCAAATCGTCTTAGATGTGTGCCAATCTTAGCTGTGCCCCAGACTTAAACTTGCTGATATAAACCTCAATCTTGTATTCAAATATTCACAAAAAAAACTAATGTTCATTTTCCTCAAAGGAGGGTCCTCCAACACCAGCACGTGGCAAGAGCAAGATCTTTATTTATACTTTTATCTACAGCTTTGTGATGCTCTCAACCTTGAACAACAACAACAAAAACACCTTCTTATTGCTGAGGGTGTTCATTAACCCAGGGACTCATAACCAATAAAAGTGCTGAGAATAATCGAATGCAAGAATTCAGTCACAGGTAGATATCTATCCTAAGCTCCTGCTAAGACTTAGGGGACATTTAGGAAGAGGAAAAAGAAAGAATAAAAGAGCTGGAGAACAGGAGGGATGGTGTGAATGCTGTGTTCTGGATATGACATGATCAATGTACATATGAAAGCAATGGAACTGTGATTACCTCCATCTCCTGGCATGGGTGAGGGATTCCCATATCCCTATCTGTAATAGAGGAGCTACTTGCAGTTGAGGATGCTGTGAATGGGAAAGTTGTTTTTCTGTGAGGAGTACCCACTGGCATGTGAAGAAAACCCCAGTGAAGAACCCCACAGCTATGAGTACATACGTAAGCAGCACTGAGCAGACTCAGTGGTTAAAAAAAGTAAAGGAATATTTGAAGCCAGAAAGTAAATATCCTGGAAAGGAAGGTAAGGGGATGCACATGATTAGGAAACATTGTGTGCATCTTTAAAATCTTCAAAAAAATTTTTAAATTCTGTTATGTCAAATGGGGTTTTCAATGCTATCACATGGAAGATCTTTTCAGCTTCTAATACCCTAAACTCAGGTCTATTTCATATTTACTGTGCCTCATAGAATGTAGCATATAAACTATAAATATTACAATAATAATGCAAAGTATTCCACTAGTATTATAACAAGGCAAATGGTTAACTTCCTTAAATATATGTACTGGAAACAGTTAATGATACAGATTTTGAAAGTCTATAAGATATAATTATGGCTATAATTTATTGGAATGAAAACTTTTTATAATATTAATAATTTAAAAAATTACAATGTTGTTTTATGACTTTTAAAATAAGATGCTATTTTATGAATACTAAAATTAATTATATTTAAAGTTTAAAAAATATACTGCTTATGTATTTGTTTATTCATTCATTTTTACTTTCTTTTCTGGAGTGATACTTATAGTATTCTATGCAGAGTTAGACTGTACAAAGCCAAGATTTAATTCTTAGCTAAACAATGCCATACTCATTAACTAACTCTATCTTTTTCACCTTTAAAATGACAATATTAATCTAATTAAATTGTCAGCATAAATTGAATTATTACATAAAATTATTTGAAATGAAGAATCATATAATTAGTATACAATATATGCTTATTGTGATTATAATTATGATTTTATGATGAGGAAGATAATTAACTTTCAAAACAGAAATTCATTTTTACCAATCATTTTTACCTAGTCATTACAATTTGGATATGCTCAACACATAAATCCTCTTCACTTCCACTATATTCCATCATGAGATATGCCTGCTTCCTTCCTTCTCTCCCATTGGGAAGAGGGCAGATCTGGAACCCAGTCAAGCCAACCTCATCTAGCTGATGGCAAAGGACCTTTGACACAGATTCCAGTAAGCAATTGAAGGTTGACTTAATGACATACCTAGAGATTTCACTGAGTAATTTAGTAGCTATCAAGTCTTGTTTTAGACATCATTCTATACCATAAAACACCAGAGATTTTTTCATTAACTATTTTTGTTCTTTTAAGTTTATAAATATGTAAATTACCTCAATAAGAACTTAATTAATTCATTACATTATAAATTACACTCATCAAACTTTCATTTGTTTGGTGTCATAAAAAATTTTTGAGATCATAATATAATTACATTATTTCTCCTTTCCGTTTTTAACTTCCATACGCTCCAATATAACCCTCCATGGTCACTTTCAAATTCATGGCCTCTTTTTTTCATTACTTGTTATATGCAGTTATGTGTAGCATGAATCTTAAAATCTTAAAAGTTCTTATTAATAAAAATAAACCTGGAGCCAAGTACTGTGGTCAATGCTGGAAGATCAGAGAAACAGAACAAGCTAAAGCTTTCATGGTGCCTTCTTGTACCACAAAAGCTAGTTCAGAGAGGAAGCATTCAAATCAATTCCAGCTCAGGGGCTTTTGGGCCCTGTGTCTGAAGTGCATGGTGTTTTCAGCAACAGAGATGTACCTTTCATTTCTTGGGTTAAACCTAGAGTAATACCAATAGGCTGTGTGTTTTTGGAGTTTCTTAAATGACTTTAACCAGCAACAACTCAAGAGAAGGATTTATATGCCTGGTATTGTGGCTTTTGTTAGTTGATCTTTGGCTCTGAGGGTAAGCATTGTCAGCCAAAATGAAATTTGTCTTTAAAGTATACATGCATATTTACACTTAAAATTACGTGTGTTTTAGAGTTGTTGTTGTTGCTTTTTTTTTGGTAAATATGTAGTAGTATGATTCCTTATGACTTTCTCAAACATTTATAGTGTCATGTAACAATCCTCCCCCCTTATTACATATTTATCTCACTTTCCCTTCCCCAAAGAGCCCCTCATTTCCCATTATCCAGATCAGATCATGTCCACCTGTTTTCCTCTAAAGTTTTATTTTATTAGACTTTCAATCCAGGGCTACACTCTATTTTATTCAGTTATAATCATTGGAAAAAGATTTTTATTTTTATAATTTATTTTATAATTTTATAATTGTAGATATACCAGTACTCTGACAACAGAATCCAGTTTCACTGAACTGTTTTGTATCTGTGCTGTAGAGAAGCTGCCTATGCAAGCATGGCCCTAATTCCAGTTACCTTGTTGTTATTTTCTATTGATCTGCTTGTCTATAGGTCAATACCTTACTTTCTTTCAATACAAATACTTAGGAAAAAATGCCTGAAAATTTCAGCTTTACTTTGTCTTAAATCATCTGGTCCTTGAAAGTTGTTACTTATCTTCCAAAGACACAAAAGTCTTCCAGGTTTCTTTCTCCTGTTGACTTAAAATGTTTTCTAGCACTTGAATACTTTTAAATGTACATACATTTGTTTTATGTCCAATCATGTATCTTATCTTGAGAAATGTCCCACATTAGAAAGCAAAATGAAAATTATAGGTGTTCTTTCACTTGCTTACTGTTACAGGAAGCCTGATTATAAATATCAATTAAGTAAATTGTTTGATTATACTGATTAAAATCTTCAACCCTACCATGTTTATGTGTCCATGTGCTGTCATTTATTGACAAGAAAATATTGACATCCTTGATGACAATTTAAGATGTATTTATTTCTCTTTTTATGTTTATGTATGTTAATTCATACACTTTAAAGTTATGTTAATAGATACATGAACACATGATTGTTTTCTCCTTTATAGACTTTATCACTTTTTACTATAAATATATTAATGCCCCATAATTTGCCACATAAACTTTATATATATATTTCTTAACCTTTGGGGATGAGGTAATTTTGTGTTTAGGAAATAACATTCTATAGGAAATAATATTTTATTTTTGACCTAAAATTAACTTTCTGATATTAATATACTCAAATTTAGTTTTGAACAGTTCAACACTGTAGATATGTCATACCCTTTTATTGTAATTCTTGTTTCATTTTTAGTAACCATGAGATTCACATGAAATTGTAGAACATGTCACAGAAAATCAGTGGCATCCTAGTGGCAACACTGTGTGAGACTGCTGTTCAGTATCACAATCAGATTGACATGGTCAGAGTGTTCCCATCAAAACTGGAATTCCTTATTTTCTCTTCATCATAGTGCATCCATTTTGTCAGTACACCATGACTTCCTCCATCACTGGAGACACTGACATGTTCTCCATCCTATGAACTTATATTTCATCAATGGTATATAACAGTATGTGTCTGTGAGAAATTGGCTCTTCCAAGTTGCCATAGTTCTCTGGACATTAATCTAATTGTTCCATGCATTGCTTCTTATTTTTCTCTCATTCCCCAACAAAGCTTAATGCCTGTAATGTATCACAATATTGTCAGATTACCAGTTGAAAGACATCTGGATTGTTTCAGTTTGGGGCTATTACAAACAAACATCTCTCAAAATTGCATACATAGATTTTAATTCTCTGTAACAAATGACCAGAAGTGTAATTTCAGAATTTTACACAAGATTAGCTTTTAAGATAATTAAAGAATAATTTTCAGACAAACTGTACCACCTTACAATCCTACTAACAACATAAAAAGTGACTCGTTTTATGTATCATTTATCAGATTTGGATTGCCATTTTAAAAACATTTTAAGTATTCTAATATGTACATATTTGTTGTGATTTAAATTAGAGTTGCCTAAGACCTAATGCCATTAAACAACTTTTCTAGTGGCCATTTGAAATTCATATTTTTAATGAAATTTATCTTCATGGTTTTTGTTCATTTTCTGATTGTGTGAGTGTGTATATCTGTTTATTGGACCTTAAATCTTCGTTAGAGGTGCTGCTTTCAAGCATGCCCCCCCGTCTTATTATTGTCTTTATTTCCTACCAAACTATTTTGCAGAATAAAGTGTTCTCTTTTTCATGTCCAAGTTGTCAACACATTTGTTTTATTTATTGTGATTTTGATTTTTGGAAAGTCTAAGTAAGATCTTTCAGAGTACTCCTAATGCCTGCAAAAATGATCCTTCCAGGGTTTGCTCCTCACAAACGCCTGCATTTTGCACTTCAGCACAGTGGTTGACTTTATTCATGTGTAAAGTTAGAGATTTAGCTAAAGCTTGCCACTT